ATGGGGCGCAACTCAGCCATGTTCCAGACGAACCAGAAGAAGTCGCCGTTGTGAAGACGGCCCTCATCGAACACCTCGAGCTGGACTCTAGGGTCACGCTGAACGTCCTCTGTGATCAGATCGTACCGCCAGATGAACCCATGGAAGACGAAGACAGGGTCATTCGAGATCGGCTACGGGCGCTTGTTGTGGCGTTCCTCGCTGGAGAGGCGAAAAAACCTCTCCTAGATAGATTGCATAGCCAAGATGGGGCAAAACAGGAACATGCTCTGATAAATGTCCTTTTCAAGGTAGCCCCATTAAACTTTGCTTTCGTTTGCATTGACAACCCATGTCGCACACTGCACAGGCAATCTCTAAATTTGGGAAATCGGACGCTACAAGAATCACGAAGGATATCCTTGTCTCTCTTCCTTCGTTTAATGGCCGGTCCACTCGCCGTGGAAACGATCTCCTACGACTTTTGCTTGAGCAGGCTTCCGCTTCGCTGAAGGACGACCTTGCACCTGGACGAACGTCAGTGAAACTGGAGCGCACTCACGACTATCTTGAACTGTCCAACTTCCTTTGTTGCGAGAAATCCGTCTCCGACCCTATTCAGCTCTTGCGTTTCTACTGCACGTCGAGTCTTATGGGGAAATTGACACTGCAGAGGCTGTCTACCGGTTCTCGTCTATTCTTCCTCGTTCAGCTTGCCGATGCTCTTGCTGCTTGCGATCGGCGTGAAAGCCTAGAACCTGACGAGCTGGACTCGATGCGGAAACAGGTTGTGGATGCATTGAGTGTCCTTCTTCCGGTGCGTGCATCGATGCTGTTGTTAATCGCGGGTAGTCATTGCAGCTAGTTTTTTGTCCAAATCGATCCCTCAGACGTTCGAGCTTGGAGGTCATGCGAGATTCTCCTACGAGCTTGCCAACAGGTGGGTGGGTTATGTTCTCATTAGAAAGTTGACGAACACGCTTTTGTCGTTACCAGAGAAAAGAACAGGACAACTGGAGCGTCCCGGGGCCGTTACAACCAGTTTTGGTGGACATCTCGCGTCTGGCTGCCGAACAACAAAATCCAGACCTGGAGCAAGTCGAAGAACTTAGCAGGGTTTGCCCAGACTATCACTTGTTCTTGCCTCTTCCAACAGTATCCTCCTTTCTTTTACCAGTCATTAATTCACCATGGGCTTCTTCATCCGCTTCCTGCAAAACCACCACCCCAACGAGAAGCCAGCGCACCTGCCGACCCTTCTGTCAGCAAACGCAAAGCCGAAGATGAGCTACGCGCTCCACAAGATCGGCATCGAACCCTCTCTATCCGAGGTCAACATGCTCGCCAGCAACAGTCGAAGGGACAGCCCCGCCAACATTCTGAGGGTCGGGGCACGCCTCCCTCTGTCACAGCAGAGACCAACCTCCAGCAGTCCTTGAAACGCCTGAGAACAGACGAGGAGAAGCCTTCGCTGCTGATGCGCATGGGCCCACCACTACAACGCCAGCCAACAGGCCGCGGTCGACACCGGTCAAAGTCAGGTTCTCCGCCGGCCCAGCAGCGCCCAGACCCATCGAAGCCTGCGGGGGCTCCATCGCCGACACTCGGGATCAGTATCAAAGGGGCAGCGCGGGCCAATTCTTTGCTAGAAAGAATACAAGGAGATGGCTCGTAGGACGATGGCAATCTACAGGATCCGTGATACGGAGCGCGGGTACTAGAAAGTAGCCATAATATCAACTCTCGCTTGCGCTCATTGTGTCTTCGTGCACATGGTGTTGACCTTCCATTCAGCCGTGAGTGCAATGCAGAAAAAGTTGAATGAATGTGCCATGTGGATCCCATCTGCGCCTGTGCTGGCGCTCGTTGCATGCAGTGTGATCGTTGACGTTGAACGTTGACTGCCGCCGACGACGGTCGGTGCGTCGAACCGACGTTGCGTAATCCAAAGCGTAATCGGCGCGTCCCGATACGCGCTCTTCAGCGCTCTTCGAGCGAGTCCCCGGCGTCGCGAGGCGCGCGGCATTTACGAGGCACATGGCGACTGGTGATGGCTGTCCTGCACCGCTTCACCACACTTAGCAAGTCGTACGACGACCATGATTTTTCTAACGGGCTGTCTTCTCGCCCTGGCCATTGGCTGTCAGGCAGGTGCATGTGAATCGCGATCGGTGAGCACACAAACTCCCCGTAAGGCTGTTTTGCGGGGCGCTCATCGAAGTTTGTGCTTGGTTTGCGCCGTCGTAGACCCCCGTGCAGGCAAGACAAACCCCATCGAGCTATGCTAGCGACGCATTCTGCAACTCCGTGCGTGTGTTTCGTTCAATGAGAGGTGGAGGGTTGATGACCTGTCGCAGGTGCTGTGCATCGAGTGTGTTGTGGAAGGGGACATGGCACGATGTACGTGAACACGTCAAGCTTGCTGTAGTGTGCACAACTGAACGTTATACCTCCGTGGCAGATGTCTTACGCAGTACTGGCGAGGAAGAGTTGGGCTGGATGGCCGTGTGCGTCTTCCCTCTCTCCACCACGCGTCAATACTGATGCTCGAACGTGTGTGTGTAGAGGGTTCGGGCGCTTCATGGGCGACAGCCCGATGGTGGTTATGTGGCCATCGCGCGGCGCGGATGGGGAGTACAACTCCGTGACGCTGTCCCAGCGCAGCGCACCGTACGAGACCATGCCCAAGGTCGACCCAGCTCCGCCATTCAAGGCCACACTCTCGGTTGCGGACACGTTGGTGAGCAGCGTGCCTGTGCGCCTCGCATCTCTTACACGGCGCTGTAGGTCAGCGGGGACCAGCCACAGATAGCGTTCACTCGACCGGTGAGTAGCATGCGATCATTGTCTACTCCAGTGCACTGAAACCCCGGTACAGGCCTCTCCGGATGGGGTGCAGAATATCATCTGGGCGTTCAGCCGCACGCCTCCGGAGTCAGATAGCGAGGATTCACCCATTTCCATCCATCACCGGTACGGGCGAGCTACGCTGAACCTCACACGCATCTTTCCTGTCTCCGATACTCCCGTGGCACCTGAGAGCGCTGAAGGCTCGGATTCCGAGCAGCCAGGTGACGATATGGTGGCAGGCGAAGAAGATGACTGCCCACCGGAATCTGAGGCAGACGCGGCGCTCTCCGAAGATATGGCAGAAGACCGCGAAGCGAGGCATCGTGGCGGTTTCGCTGCTATACTACATGCTACCCTGTGCATAGCGGGCTTCCTATTTGTGATCCCCTCTGGCGCGCTCGTAGTGCGATACGCAAAGGCAACAGGGAATGATGTTGCACTTGAGTTGCACCGGCTGGTACAACTCGGCGTCGGTCAGTGTTCCTGGCTCCTTATTGTCAGACCCTTCTTACATGCACCTCCGCACACAGCTGGCTTGTTTATCGCGGGTGGCATGTTTGCCTACCTCTTCATGGGCAGTAATGACTCTGATGCAGCACACCAGGTGACAACACCTCTCATCGTCACTTGTCTGTGTCTCTGACCATCTTCATGTAGTGGTGGGGTTGCGGCGCAATTGTACTGTATGGCGTGTCGTGCGCGGTGGGTATCTGGGTAGGCCGGATACCAGCAAGCAACCGCACGCGCAAGCATACTTTGCTGCTTGCAGGCCTGGGAGCGTGGATTGTCATCCTTGCCTACTATGATACCTGGCTTGGCTTGGCTGCAGCAGGCGCCAGCTCGTTATGGTGGTGGGCTCTGCTCATAGTATGTGTTTTCTCGACTTCGACGCAGCGAGCACTGTAGCTGAGATATGCTTCAGACCGTTCCACCGTTGTACATCCTCGGCGCCGTAATGGTGCACCGCCAGACTGTGCAGACCGGAAAGGGTGACTATGTCGCATTGGATACGCGACCGTTGTAGCGCGAGGTGGTGGTGAGCAGGCGACTGTTGAGTATGAGCATACATTGCAGCCTAGGGAAGCATATGTATGTCTATATATTTCGATGATTAATGGTCTATTGGTTTCGTACGGCGACTCACATCCGCCACTAGCTTTAGGGTACGTCTCTCGCTATCATCGGTGCCGTTAAGAGCCTAGCATCGGTCGCCAGCCCAGCCTTCTGGCGGTTCCGCGACGGATAGTGCCCAGTCATCCGCTTGCAAGTTCTCCCATGACGTCAGCGGCGTCCACTCAGGCAGCGGCAGAGATGCCGTCTATATCCCCGCATCTCTCACACGTACCAATACCATGCCCGTCGAGCTCAAAGGGAGCTGCCACTGCGGCGCCGTTGCCTTTACTGTGCAGTCGAGCACACCAGTGCCATACCAGCTCTGCATGTGCTCGATCTGCCGCAAAGTCGGCGGAGTCGGAGGCTCGATCAATCTCGGCGCGCACGCACACACGCTCCAGATCACCAAGGGGAAGGCCGATATCTCGTGCGACCGCTGCATCCTCTCGCTGCACTTGGTGTTGTCTAAATGACTGGCTCGCAGGATATACAAGGCCGTGCTGAACCGCGATACGCCGCAGGAGAAGCGCGCGTCGTCAGAGCGACACTTCTGCTCTAAGTGCTCGGCGATGCTTTGGCTGTGGGATGAAACGTGGTACGTGCCTGACAAGTGGATCGTATCGTGCGCGAAGACCTGACGCGAGTACGATCAGGCCTGAATTGCTGCATCCTTTCGCGTCTGCCATTGACGAGCCGGAACTGAAGCCACCGGAAGAGATGGTGCGTAGTAACTACGTCCCTTGCTAAACTTCATGCTTGACGTAGAGCTTGTTGTTATAGACCGTGCTTATGACGGGGTCGGCGCCAGCGTACGTGCGTCTGCCCGAGGGCAACAAGAAGACTTACAAGGCATACCCAACGGCTTCGCTCGAGGAATGGCACAAGAAACACAACGAGTGGGTTGAGTGAGTGAGGTAGTTGAAATAGAGGTGCTTGTATGATTATATGGTGCTGCGTGTGTGGAAAGAGGGCTCTTATGGTCTAGAAACTGCTCGCCGGGGTCGACATATCGGGATACAATCAGGCTTATGTTCACTTAGGCCGAGCCAACAGGGCTAGGTAGCGTGGCCGAGTGGTCTAAGGCGCTGGATTTAAGTTACTGCTTGATTCCCAGTGGGGCAACCCGCGCGAGTTCGAACCTCGCCGCTACCATTGCATCCATTTTTTGTCCCACTACCCATTCCCCACTTGTTCTGGGGATTGCGTCATATGGCAGTTCGAGTCATTCAGTACGCGGAGACCTTCGTTAGGAGGCAGAGCAGAGCAACTGTCTCCAATCTCCACTGTACACATCGTTCCTGCCGGGAAAATACACGTCGTTGCAGATGGCGAACATTCGGAAACTCTTTCCGTCAGGGCGGTTTGTCCTGATCGATGGTGGCCTGGTGCCTACACACACCCTCTGATCTAATATAGTACACAAACTGACCATGGTGTGACTTGACAGGGGTCGACGCTCGAAGATGTGTTCCATGTCAACACAACTTCTTCGCTTTGGTCCTCTGTGGCTCTTGCAAAAGACCCTGAATCCGTGATACAGGCGCACCTCATCTTTTTACGCGCAGGGGCACGGCTCATAGAGACAGCATCGTGAGCAACCCTGTTCGGGTTCTCTTAGGCACACCCACTATCTACTTTCTGCCGTAGGTACCAGGGTGCATTTAGCACATACGCCAAGGCAGGTTACTCTGAAGAGGACGCCGAGCGGCTGATGCGCTCATCCGTCGCGCTCGCCGATGAAGCACGCCGCCGCTATGTTGCGGAATCAGGCGTCCCCGCCGACAGCATCAAGGTTGCTCTTTCGCTCGCGGGATACGGCGCAACGCTGTCCTTGCCGCACGAGTTTGACGGCTTCTACCCCCCGCCGTATGGCCCACAGGCGTACGCACCACCACCCGCGACAACGCGCACTGCATTCGCGCCGGACGAGCACGAAGCGGCCGCAGGCGCCGAGGACGCGCTCGCGGCGTTCCACCTTGAGCGTCTGCGGGTGTTCGCAGACGACGCGCCGACGTGGCGCGCGATCGACGCGCTCGCGTTCGAGACGGTCCCGCTCGCGCGCGAAGTGCGCGCGCTGCGCCGTGCAGTCGCCACGCTCGAGGGCGAACTCGCACCCGCCGACCGCAAGCCGTGGTGGGTGACGGTCGTCTGGCCGGAAGGTCGCTTCCCCGAGGAGAGCACGCCGGGCGGTGCACGCCTCGGCGCAGCGGAGGTTCTCGCTGCGTACTTTGATGATGTGATACCTGGAGCAGGGATTCAAGGCGCGCGGTATGCGGTGCCGGACGCGTTTGGGATCAATTGCACGGCCCCGGCGCACGTTGCGAGCGCCGTCGCGGAGGCGAGCGAAGCACTTGCCGTGCGAGGCGTCGGTAGCGGTGTCGGTGGCGGACAGCCGTGGCTCGTACTCAAGCCAAACGGTGGACAGACTTATGACATGAGCAGCCGCAAATGGGGCTGGCACGATGGGCAGAAGCAGACACAGGGAGACGAATTTGCCAACGAGCTCGGTGCTATTGTGCACCGGGCGGCTGAAAAGAACGTCTGGGGTGGCATTCTGGTAGGAGGGTGCTGTAAGACGGGGGATGAGGAGTTGCGTGCATTGTCGAAAGTATTGGGTGTGTAACCAGCTCTGTGAGCCTCTGTGTAGCTCTACATTCTGTAAACGATGTGTGTGGGAACTTTCTGCGGGAGATGCCGGTCGGACTGTGAGGTCGACGACGAGCAAACTCTAGTGATCAACGCCCGCAGGACCCGGACAAAAAGCTATCGGACGTCGTCAACACAGGCGTTCAGCCCCAAAACACATCCACGGTGCGTTTATATGCTGTACTGTTGGCCTGTCGCGAAAGAACGGATCCGAACGACCCAGTTTTGGCGGTGGATGCATTGGTGGAGCGTCGGGTGTGCTGATGCTTGCATATGCACGACAGACCCAGCATGTCCTCAAAACTCCCGTCTATCCTGAGTGCGGGCGAGGAGGAGATCCAGCTCCTTCTTGCTGCGCAGTGCCACATCGGCACGAAGAACTGTGACAAGCAGATGGAGTCCTACGTCTGGAAGAGGCGGTCAGATGGTGAGCACGTCCGCGGCAGCTCCTCTGGTGCTCCCTGACAGCGGCTGTCCAGGCATCCACATCCTCAACATTGGCAAGACCTGGGAGAAGCTCGTCTTTGCTGCGCGGATCATTGCCGCCGTCGAGAACCCGAACGACGTCTGCGTTATCTCGGCACGGCCATACGGCCACCGTGCGGTGCTCAAGTACGCTGCCAACACCGGCGCGCAGGCCATCGCAGGCCGCTTCACCCCCGGCTCGTTCACCAATTACATCACGCGCTCGTTCAAGGAGCCCCGCTTGATCATCGTCACGGACCCCCGTGTCGACCACCAGGCGATCCGCGAGGCGTCGTACGTGAACATCCCTGTCATTGCACTCGCGGACACGGATGCGCCCCTCAAGTACGTCGACGTCGCGATCCCGACGAACAACAAGTCGCGCCACTCAATCGGTCTTATCTGGTGGCTGCTCGCCCGCGAGGTGCTCCGCCTGCGCGGCACCATCCCGCGCACGTCCGACGGTTGGAACGTCATGGTGGACATGTTCTTCTACCGCGACCCCGAGGAAGTAGAGAAGCAGCAGCAAGACGAGGCTCAGGCCAAGGCTGCCGCTGCTGCTGGCGAGCCTGAGCCCGCCGCTGCCGTCTCTGAGTGGGACGTCACCTCTGCTCCCGTCGTGGGCGGCATCAACCCTGCGCTCGCCGCACAGGAGGGTGGTGAGTGCTTGCATATCTACTAGTTTGGGCTTGATTACTTACTTGTCTCGTTAGGTGCCATCGACTGGGCTGCAGAGCCTGCGGGTACGAACGACTGGGCTGCAGAGCCCGCCGGTACAGCGCAGTGGGATGCGGCGCAGCCGGCAGGTTGGGATTAAAAGGGAGAGTTGCCGCCAGGCGGGTTGTGTTTATTCTGCGCTGCCATGTATACGAGTTACTATAAACCCACCATGCTCTCCACATGCCTCGCATGTCGCCCATGACCAGCATGCATTCTCTTTTCTCTGCACTCTCCTGTACCCCGATGGTCTGGCTGCATGAACTCACAAAAAATTTCATTTCTGCACAAGACACTGACTACTAATTATGCACTTAACAATACTGTGGTGCTACTGGTACTGAGTGGGCTACAATCTCCCTCTGCATGGTCGAACAACGAATAAGAGCAATAACTTATTACCAGCCAACGCAACCGACCGCCCCGCACACGTACACATGCAGTCTCACTCCTCCCAGTCCACGTCCCATGTGCGCGCGCCACGTCCACGGCCCACGACAACGGGCGCCCAGTAGTACTGCTTGTACTTCATCGTCTCGCGCCGCTTGCCCGCGCGCGGCATGAGGCAGCGTAACACCGCGCCGCGCTCTGCGTCGGGGTCCGCGTCCGCATCATAGAAGTACATCCACTCGTCCGCGCCCGCGTCGCATCGCACACGACCGAGAACGCGCGCGCGCACGGCCCACGCGAGCGTCGCGCGCAGTGCGGCGGGCGCGTGCGATGACAGGGACGGGGTGCGCGCGAGCGCGGTGAGGGAGAGCGACGAGGCGCGCGAGAGCGCGAGCGTCTCGAGGAGCGGGCCGAGGATTGCGGGGTAAGGGCACGCTTCGACGTCCTCAACGGGCGGGGGGCGTCTTCGGATGTTGTGCTGGTGGAGGACGAGGACCGGCGCTGCGGGGAGATGGGCAGCGCGGGGGCGCGGGTGCGAGTGGGCGCAGGTGCGGGCGCGTGCTTTTTGCGGTCGCGCCAGGGCTTGTCGTCCGCGTCTGCGTCGCGCCGGCGCCGCTTCGTGCGTGCGCGCGGGCGCGGCGCGGGCTCGGGCTCTTCCTCGGGTTCCGTGTCGTCCTCGTTGGCGGGGACGCTCCGCTTGCGGCTCGTGCTGCGCGCGCACTGCTGTCCTGGGAATGGGGATGATGGCGGAGAGCTGAGCGGGGAGGACGGCGCCGCGCGGAGGGCGACGGGCGAAGCGGGGGGCGGCGCGATGGGCTCGTCCGGGACGGTCAGGGCAGGGGAGGCGGGCCGGGAGGAGGACGGCGCTGGCGCTGGCGCATCAGGAAGGACGAGATCGATGGGCGCGGTGGCTGCTGGTGGCGCAGGGGCGAGGGCCGACGAGGACGGAGAGCTGGAGCGAGAGCCGTGGCCCGCGCGATCGTCAGGCGCGCACGACGTTGCGGCTTGCGCCTGATGACCGCACGCATGATGTCAATGGGAGCAAACGAACCACGGGAGAAGCGCACGCACCACGTTCGAACTGATCAGCGCCGGCGATGAGACAGATATCGACGGCGGCGGCGTTTCGGGCGGCAGCGCGAAAGCAGAAGCGGGGGTGCGCTGGTCCCTGCAGGGAAGATCCTCCTGCCGCGCACCCGGCGGTCCTTCCCGAACGGGCGAGGCCTGCCACGAAGCTCCGTCAGCCGGCTGCGAATGGGAACGCCGCAGTTGCGGATGGCTGCAATCTACCCACCTCGAGCGGGGCCACGCCCACACGCGGCGCATCTTCTCCAGCTTCGCTCGCGGCGGGGCCCGAAAAGCCCGAAGGGAGACACGCCTGGATGCAACGTCGGAGCAAAAGGCGTCAGCTGCCGGGACGCGATAACGAAACGCAATAAAAGAAAATTGCGGCGGGTGGCACGTACCTCGTCTGGCGTTGGTTCGCGTTTCGGCGCGCGGGAGGGCGAGACAGGGCGCCGCTGGGGTGACAGGTCAAAGTCCAGAGCATCCCGCTCATCGTCTTCGGGGAGGGGGGACGACGGCGGCAGCGGCGAAGAAGCCGGCGTGGCGTCCCGGGGTGAGCTTCTCTGGGCCGGCGCGGCGGTCCCGTGGACAGGTGTACGATCGATAAGGCGGGGAGGTGCCGTCATGGAAAATGGCAGCCGTGGCGGTGGGGACGGGGTGCGTGGCAGGACGAGATTGCGCAGGGACGGCGAGACGACGCGCGAGCGGCGCGCTGGCGCGGGCTGCGCCTCCACAGTGCGGGTCTGGGCCGGGGCCTGGGCGGGTGCCATTCGTGAAGGACCAAGACGCGGCTGCGCGTGGAGCGCGAGCAGAGCTGCCGCGACGTCTTCGCGAGTCGCAGATGCTTTTGTGTCGGGGGCCGACTTATT